ATGGGTAACATTTTGAATTCTTCTTCCTGAAATGTAGATAAGGGGACAAGATGTCCTGACCTGTGAAAATGACACAACTGCAGCTGCCTGGCTTTTGTTGAGCATTTGATTCTGAGTCTTCCTCAGACTTACATAGAAGCATTTTAAAAACAGTCTGCTAATTCTGGATAGCAGAGCATTGCTGTGAGGAACTGACCACCTTTAAGGATCCAGATCTAAACACAGACTCTGGTCTACTAACTGTAATCATGGTGACATGCAGAAAGACGGCCAGCACTTTAAAGATCGGCCTGTTTGTTGTGTGGGAAAACCCAGAGAAGAGATGAACACTGTGGAGAAAAGACAGGAAAGATTAAAGACACAAACATAGGAGGCTGTGATGGATAAATCTACAAAAATGGAGTAAACATGGTTGGGGAAACAGTGGCGTTTGGGGACTACTAATTACGCAAGAAGACGTCACAGACTTGACAAGTAACAAGGTAGAAAAAGTAGACTGAGTACTGTCCTGGTTTATGCAGTTTAGTTCACCCTCCTTTTTAGCATTTTAGACCATGAAAAAGATGACAGTTGCAGATGGTCCAAAAGTGAAAGTTACTTTGATATTGGCAATTTTCTGATTACCTGTATTAGCCTTTTATTTTACAGATGGCTGACAAAATAAGTGAATAAAAAAACATGCTTTTTAAGCGATTGACTGAACCATACTGTAGGTGTAATTTGTTGTTTGGAGATGATGTTTTAGTTGTTGGTTAAATTTAAAAAGAGTGGCTTAGACTTATTTGTGCTGAGGTGGATAATTTGCCATATCGGATGTGCTTCCTCTCTTGCTACCATTATAGTTTTAGTGAAGTTTAGCCAAACTTTCGATCGCTTGCTGAAGTCTGCTATGATCCTCTTCTTACAGCTTCGTTTACCCACTGTGTCACAAGTGATGTAACATTCAGAAGGTCCTGGCAGATCAGTATAACTTTATGAAGACTGCAGAATTCCTACTGAAGTTTAATCTTGACAGATTTATGTTGGTGTCAACAAACTGCAAATTCATGTGATTTACTGAATTCAGAAATCTCTGACATTTGAAAGCAGTTCTAAGTTTGAACTGGTTCTTAATACCCAAGTCTACTTCAAAGTTTCATGTGATTTACCTAGCCTCTAAAATGAATGGATTACAGCGCATCAATGTCACAGTGATGGAAAATGTTATTGCATTGTCTAGCTTCAGTAAGCTGTTGGACTCTACTTACTCTAAGGATGACGGACATATCAGAACCGCAGGTAGCCCTGGTCTAAAAATACTTTATCCTTCATATTGGACATTTATTTTCAAAAATACATCACATTAGATTGAACAAGATCTAGAAATAATGTCTCAGATAATAGACTTCTTACAATATTTTTACAGGAATTTTAAATCAGCCAAGAAGTTTTTAATCTGGTTTTATATGGTAAGAGTTATTGTTGAAACCACTGAAGTCTGCCGCCTCTGGCTGATAAGAGGAATGCAGTTTTAAGGTATTTCTGAACAAACTTCACTTTTGATACCACAAAGCCTGCTGCTTGTTCCTTTGTCTCCCCTTTGTCTTTTTCTTTCTACACTGTCTTCGGTTTTTCCTTTAATATCACAGACTGTCCTCTAAAGCCTCCTAAAACCACATCAGGCTGTATCGTCTTTATCTCCTAACAATAGTCAGACTTCCAGTTGAATCCCACAGGTCAAAGCCGGCTGGTATTCCCAAAGTGAACTGTTCTGTATGTGTTGATATAGTGCTGCCTGATCCCGGCGTCCGGCATGATAGCAGGGCGATTATCTCCTGTAATCTTTAATAACATCCCAGGGAGGAAGACAGAGTGCAATAAGCTGCATCTGCCATGACTCGCCCTGTCCGAGCAAGGTGAGAGAGAGACAGACAGAGAGAGAGAGAGAGCGAGGGAGAGATGAGGTGTTAGCCTTGAGTTTAATATGGCTATGAATCCTCAGCACGAGGTTAAACTTGTACCTCCATGCTGCTGTTTTTCATTCTTCGTGGCTTCAGGGTCATTTTAGTTTCTATATGTGACTGTTTATCTTTTTCAAAATTAGTCACGGGTTTGAGTAAACTAATGCTAAGAAAGTCATTTCTTTTGCTCTTTGAATGTTTGTTACAAAAGCAGAGAGGTCTTTGAAATGCAGCTATGATATCAGTTTTCATTAAAACAAACTAACTTTGTGACTTTGGTACAAGGAGCAATGTTTGTGTCAGAGTTTCTCACGGCCTCAGGCTTTGTCACCCCCCGCTGAGCACCAGGGTTAATGTCAGTGTGTGCATCTGGGTGTATAATTGAAAAATGACTACATTTAAATTAAGGATGCCAAAGCAACTGAATGACAATGTGATGTAGAAAGAGAGCGGGAAGGGGAAAGTAGTAAAACACACAGAAACTAACATTTGATGTTTGAGCCTTAATTAAAACATGTTTTGGACTGGCCGTCAATCTCCAGAGGAGTCTGAGAGTGATCATGTGACTTTGAATCTTAAACAGCCTGTAACAAAGTTTAGAGAAACCCTAATGGACAAAATTATCAGTGTCCAACATCTTTTTTTTTAAAATACAAATAGCCAATTGAATCATTTAGTGTAATGATGATGCCCTCAGTGAAATATAGTTTATGTCACAAAAAGATTTCCTGCAAAGTGGAACACAACCTCTATAAAAAAGCACACAAGCAAAAATGGAGTAACTTTGACTGCATGTAGGGGACAAGGAAAGTGAAGACTACTTTGTCCACAGGGGGTGATAAAATTGACACAAACCCAAAACTCCTTACATGAGCTTTAAATCTGCTTTGAGGAACTTTTTGTTTGTGCCATTTTGGCACCCCCAATGGATGAAGTAGTTTTTGTGTAGCTCTTCATCTACATATTTCAGATAAGATACTCCTTTATTAGTCCCACAAGGGGAAATTCCCATTTACAGTTCATCCATTCCAAGACACATACAGTAAACAGATACATACAGGGTGACAGAAACAGGAGAACTGTTGGATCGCCAGCCTTACCGGCACTCCTTTCTTAGATGAGAAAAAGGAGAACAGGAGGGAAGAAGAGGGGAAAAAAAGGGAAATCCAAACTCTGCTCCCATAGGGGGCACAGTGGCCCTTATTTATCAAGCTTGTGTACAGCAAAAAACTTGCATTCACCTTGCGTACGACAATTTTGACGTGAGGATCGGCATTTATCAATCTGCACGTGAGCGTACGCTACGACCAAATCTCACGACAGGTCTGACATCGTGTACGCAAGTTTGAGTCGGTGTGGATCTGTGGTTCAGCAAATGTCTGTCTCAAAATAATAAACAAACCTCAAACCTCTCATTAAGCACAATCAGCCAGATTTCATTAAGGATTAAGACGTAAATAAAATAAAATAAATTTGTTATGTCCTTAGTGAATAGGCCTATTTGATAACTGCCCAGAAACACTGCCACAGAGCAGTGTTAACATTGCGCTCACACGCGCCACTGTGGAGTGCTGAATTTGACTCCTAAAAGGCAGGTGTCTCTGTCTTGGGCCAGCAGCGGGGACGTTGTTGTACACTCCTGAAAGGGTGTGGGACATCATTTGGGCCAGTTCAGTTTTGCACAATGTTGCACTGGCAAATGGAGTGCCGTTGGCTGTGCCGGTGCAACATGAGGTCCCGATGCCCAGAGAACAATAACGAGGAGAGACTCCACAAAGGTGCTGCACAGAGGAGACAGGACCTTATCGATGGATTCTGACATGTAAAGTATAAGTTTAGAAAGTGCTCTTGCTATTTAATCAGTGATAAAAATCCAATAAAAGTCCATAAAAATGTGCCTCAGGGGCAGCGACACACCGTTCGATGACGTTAATAATTATTTTTGTGTTCAGCCTCTGTCAGACTCTCCAGTCTGCTCTACATTACAAAGACGCAACAAATTAAAACTAAATACTTTCAATAATAGGAGCAACGTACCCTGTCATGGCAATAAACAAATATGAGGCATGTATGAGATATTAATTTATCATCATGAGCAACTTATTGACTAATTATTTATTTAAACTTCAACTACCGTCCACTATTCTGTGGCAGCGCTGTTCAGCGCCACCATAATCCTGCTCCAGACAGGAGTTTTCTGGACTGCTTTTATACCAGTTTTGATGCTTCCAAAGAGCCAATCCTTGTTAGTTTCCACCACAGATGTGAGGATATCCACTTTCAGCTCGAAAAAGTTTCGCATCATTCTAAAATATCTCCTTTTTCATGTTTGACCTCAGTGGGCGAGGCTTCTGAACCACAGATATTTAAGGGCATAAACATGTTAATGACGATAGATTTCAGCCGCCGCATTTATCAAGACCCGATCATACGTACTCTGGGATTGGTCAGATGCGAACCCTTTCATAAATCTCACGTGTGTCCTGTCGTAGGATGAATCCTGCGCTCAGATCTGTGCTTAGATCTGCGCAAGATTGATAAATGAGGGCCAGTGTGACTAGATTTTTGTTGTCATCTAACAAAAATCTAATCCTGTTGATAAAATGTAAATATTTGTTGCAAAATTTTAAATAAAAAGTGTAAGAACAAGGGCATCTCTTGAGTCATCTGGGGGACACCTGCCCCCCTGCACCGGTTTCAGGCATTGAAAAATACAACATGTAAATGGTAAATCTTTACACTGGAGTTCTTGCTGGTTCTCGCTGGGTGAAGCCACCCTGAGAACAGCGCCCTCTGGTGACGGGCTGTAGTATAGGTCATAAATCATCCGCCAGCAAAGCTTATGGAGTTGTGGACAAATGTTATAAATTAATTACACAGAACATAATATTTTTCCTCCCCTGCTTGTGATGTTGACATGTAGTTACTGTCAGACTGGTTTGTGCTCAAGTCCTCTTTTTTCTGTGAAGCTCTGTTTTTAAAAGTTATTAGGGGGTTCATGTTTTCTATGATTGACATCTGATACAGCCTATTGGCGTTCAGGGATTGCATAGCTCACCCGGGGGATACGCTGTTTGAGCCGAGCATCATCGACTCTCCCGCCAAATGCCTACAACGCTACTGCGCAAGTGGTGGTTTCAGGAAGTGGAGAAAAAATGCGGAATTACTGGGAGCTTTTTGGCTTCAAATCTGTATACTGGTGGAAGGCGGAACCAATTTGTCAATACTATATACAGTCTATGATCATATTGTATCGTGTTGCATCGTACCATATCATACCTAGTCTTATTTGGAGTGCTGTGTGTTTTGTCACTCCCCTGCCAGCATACCATTTTCACCAATTGGTGGTGTATGTTGAGGTACTTTTAGATGTTACCATATCTTAAACATCATGCGTGAAAGAGGTTGCTGATAAAGTATATTAAATGGGGTTTGACTTTGTTGTAGTGAAAGTTCTAACCAAAGTTAAATACCCTAAATGTTCACTTACCATCATTTTGTGTGTTTGTGTGAACTGTAAATGTTTTTTGCCCATGCAGAAATAAAAATGGGCAAACAATCAGGAACTGGCGATGAACTGTCTGTTTTGATCAAATTGATTTCAGAGTTGAGGGTTTCAGGGTGCTGGTTTGGTCTTCGGCACTGATGGTCACATGTTTCTGCGCCTGTGATAATGGATAAAGATTCATGGTGGCCCCGGCTGCTCCATGTCCGCTGCGGACCCTGGAAGGATATTTATGTTGACAGTGCTCCTTCTCCCACCAAGCCCGGAAGGAGGATCACACAAGCTGTCACTCAGATTGATGTCTCCCCTGACGGCACAAGTTAGAAGGAAGGGAGGAGAAGGTAATGAAGAGAGGATGGAGGATGCTTGCAGGGTTGGAGACGTAAGACGATGATCTTTCACTGCTGCATCATCTGAATTCAGTTCATCACATTCACACGTACATACACAAACTATACTGTACGGAGTGGGAGTTGCACCCAGAGCACTGTTGTGTAGAGCAAAGCTGCTTTATATCACAGAGGATTTATTGAATAAGTCTTTGATGTGCAGCCTGTGCAAGGGGAGGGAAAAAGCATGTGGGGAGGAGCTCGGTCATACAATATGGATCAAATGAGGAGGAAATAAAAGATAGGATGTAATGTCATAGACGTGATCTTGGTGCATATTGTTATGGGTTTTATTATGTAGACGGTGGTGAGATGGGCAGCTGCACAGAACGTGTGACTGTTATCCAGTCCCATCAGCCTCAAAATGGGATGTCATTTGCTCTCACAGGTATGTTATTCAACCAGGAATGAGTTCCTATCTGAGCATGCTTTCATATCAGCAGTGATTTGTTTTCATATCATGCCCTCGATTGTGCAAAAGAGTTTTTTTTTTAACATGGCCAGTGCCTCTACATAACGATGAGAGGGAACATAATCTAATTTCTATTTTCATTTACAGGACAGATTGTTCAAATGGAGTAATAACTATCTCCTCTGCCCCCTCGCTGCCCTCCTCCTCCTCCTCCTCCTCCCCCTCCTCCTCCTCCTCCTCCTCTTCGGCCTCCATCTTCCACTCTCCTCATATTCATTTCCTTGAAGAATGCATTGGAAAGCGTGCAAATGAGAACAAGTGAACAAATGAATGTTTCATGAATGCTTTTATGATGAGAAAATGCAAATGAGGATGAGTGAATGAATGAATCTTTAATGAACGCTTGTTTAATGAAAAGGACTTATTAACTAGAGCGCTGACTTAGCACTGCGCCACAGCCCAGGCCCAACACGCATGAAAGGATCGCATTATATTTTGGCAAGGAAGTGATACAACACATTTAAGAGAACAAGCAACGCTAATCAGTCCAACCTGATTGACAGGACGGTGACATATTGAATTAGTGTTTGATTGTCATTTCCACCCACAGCCCTCTGTTTGCTTTGGATAACACTGCAAAAAATAAATCCGATGGACTAAAACCAGACAGGCCGTGCCAACAGGGCCACGTTTTTGGCTCCGGCAGCTGATCTGAGGATAGAGGCCCACCCAGGAGGGAGATAGATCACTAGCCTCATTAGCTGTTGTTGTCATATTTCCCCCAAATCTCACACAGAGAGGCAGAAAAATAAAATTCAATTTTACCCTCATGTCCTCTTCAAGATGCTTTAAGAACCAGAGGCGTAGTGTAATTTCAAGTCTGTCTTCATACTCCTTTAACACAGATTTATCTGTGTGGGTTAATTCCAAGGCTACAAGCCCATGCATGATAAATGTGTGTGCATTTCCTTGGGTTGCTGTTTGACTCTCTATAAGGACCTTTAATCAGTGTTTACAGCTATTGTAGTGCAGCTTCTCCTTTCATGGGATCTTCCTGCTGCCCCCATCACTCTCTCTCTCTGGACCGGCCTTATTACTGAGGTTTACCCAGCGGGAGTGATTGGCAGATATGTTGGAGCTGAGAGGGGTGTAGTTAATTTTATTCCCACTAAAGGGCAAGAGGTTTGCAGTGTAACATGTAAGCAGTAAAAACAAAGTGTTTAGTAGTTTATTTACATTATTCTTTATCATGCATCGTCATCACTCATACCTCATACCTCTGTTTTCTCATAAAACTTACCCCCCATTTTCTCAGTTGTTCTACATACGGGGTTTCTACACAGTTGTAATTTCCATAATGTAATGTAATGTAAAGCTTTATTTCAGAACCAGTAGTCCATATTATACAGAAAACAATACAAAAGATATAAAACTTTTCCATACCCTACTTTTTGGAAGTATTTTTGAAAATACTTCTCTATTTTAGAAAACAGTATTTTAGAACAGCGGTAATAGTCTGGAAACAAATATTTTTCAATACTTTATTTTTCATTTTCCATACGTTTTAAGACCTGGAAATTGTTCAAATTTATTTTCATATTTTTCCATACTTTCCATACTTGCGTAGGATCCCTATACATATGGTTCCAATATGTGATGTTTTAAAGACAATTATTTTCCATTACTCCCCTGTTTGTAGGCTACCACCCTCACACAAATATTTACCATTTAGGCCAGACAAATGTGAGCCCAGTGTTTGCCAATATTTACACCCATCACTGCTGCGGAGACATCCGAGGTATATTTAAACTGCAAAAGCCAAATCAGACTGATATTATAGGTCTACATTTTTATTCACCTGCCATTGGGTGTTTAAATAAGCATCGTTGCCACTGGATCTTAGATTGCATGCCTCTTATGATTGCATCCAAGGGTTTTATTTATTTAAATGTATGCATGATTTGTACATTATTTCAGTCTTCCTGTTTTTTCATGATGTGTATTGCATGTGTCCTCTTCTGTTGCTAACCAAGCTGCCCCCAAGGACCATTAGGATTATCCAATCCAATCAAATATTCAGCATCCTTTTAGCTCTGTTGCTGGTCTGTAACTGCTCCACCAGGACATATGTGGCTCTAAAGCAGCTCAATTATCCACTTTGTTCACTGTCTGGCCTCTTGCTTTGACTACTGTCTGTATGTAGGTGGTTTACAGCAGGTGTTGGAGCTTTTTTTCTCAGTTTAAACCACTATTTTTGGTTGAAACAGAGCTTTTGAGGGTGGTGATTTGAAAAAGTAAAATTAGGAGCATATTAAATTTAGAAAAGTCACAGGAAAATACTAAAAAACTAACCATCACAGCTGAAGAGAAACAGCTGGCATAGTTGGCTGATTTAAACATTGGTATTGGTAACAGCCTTACAACAAGGTCTATCAATTCTCAACAGTAAAAAAAAAAGCAAAAAATTCCGCCCTTGTTGGTGAACCATCAGCTCCACAGTTTGCCTCATTCAGTGGGCCTCAGTAGAAGCTTGTTTGCTTGCTCAATAATTTAAGTGTATGCGAAGAATAACATGCTAACAACAAGCTACAGTGTTTTTCCGTGGCTGATTCACTGCACATTTGAATGTTTTTCTATGGCTTTTGTGCTTTTACTACTGGTGAGTTTATAAAGTGTATGAAGTTTAATTTATGAAAGTTTAAAGTATTCAATATATCAAAATACTTGTGTTATATTTTGTTGTACTGTTACCTGCAGGCAAATGGATGTTTTTTTTGGTATTTGTTCATTCATAATATATCTGTTATTAGAGAGTATATCTTGTCGATACGCTCCAGTAAACAATCAGGATTCTGTATTTACTATCTCCATGTTTGACTCCATGTTTAAGTTGGTCTTCTGTGTTTCGGCTTGATTAGTGTTTGATGTGGGCTACGATGCAAATAGATTTGGTGGATACTTTAAGAGAGGCAAGGAGCTGAAATGTGCTATGGTGCTTGGACAAAACACAGTGTTTAGAGTTATGTTTTTACTATGAGTGGTTTTAATTTTTGGGAAAAAGAAAGTCAATAAAAATTGCGTGATCGATCCAGAGATTTGTTTTTCAGCACATGATGCCCAGCCCTACTTTTAGCAGGGCGATATGTGCTGAGCAAAGCACAGATTGCAAATGGCAACCTAAATGTTTGGGCACCAAGGACTGCAGTTCCTAAAATGACCACTTGAAACTAGTTCTCAAAATGAGCCAATTCCTATTAAGACCCATCTTGAAATGCCATATTTTATTTCACTATATCACAGTTTTTTTTTTTTTGTTGAAATGCTACTTTCTCATTTTCTGACATTTGTGAACAGCTCTTTTTATTCATATTTGACTTTTTAAATTACAGTAATTTTGGCATAATTAAGGGCACAAAAGCTACAATGAAAAAATTTTAAGGCTTCATGACTGCAGTCTATGAAGCACTAGACAGGAGCATGTCTGCATCCTCAGCTCTGCTCTGTTGATCATTGCCATATCTCCTTCGCATCACCTAAACTCCAAAGATGTACCTGGATATAGAAAAGATCTATGCTGACTAAGTGTAACAGCAGTTTGACAGTTCAAGGTTACTGGGTGTCCCTCAGATTAGCCAGCTACTATAAAATAGGCTCATCATCTAGTGGCAGGGTGGCTCCATTTTATAATCCCTGAATCAATTTAAACCTTTCATCTCTAAACGGGACCATATTATTCCAATAACCGTCATTATCCCTCATATTAGCTTAGCACAGGGAGCATGCCAAATGGCAAGGACCACTCTATCTCCTATTTGACCTTCCACACCCACACTTAGACTCGCTGCATATGCTCCCCCTCCCTACCCGTCCTCCTCCTCCATGGCCAGCCCTCCCCTCTCTCCCCACATCTCCTCCCTTTCCTCCGTTGCTACAGTTTCGTTAGGAGGAAATGGGGCTTAACAAAAATATTGTCAAATTGCCTGGAAAGCCAAGGGGAGGAAGCTGGGCGAGCATATCCAAATAGCCTTCATTTGAATTGCTAATTTGATCCCTGAAAATAAAAAAAAAAGTGTTGACAGAAGTGAGAGCAGAGTCGAGAAATAGAGGTCCTTAATAAAGCAGCAGTGTTAACTCTTGGCTGAGCGGCTTCAGAGCGAGATCAAAGCGCTTTCAAACAGGGTGGACTTAAGCTTCTTCAGGAGACCTTCCTCAACCGTACACACCTCTTTTTGTCACTCCCTCAGTTTCCCGCTAATTCTGTCCCTTCAGTCACTAGCCTCCGCAATCCCCCAGCTTTCACAGCTTGAGCTTTTTGGATGAGAACCGCTACTTTCTGAAAGAGCATGCAAATGTGTGAATGTATGTGTAGCAGAGACAGAGAGAGAGGCGGAGAGGAGAGGGAGGAAGAAGGGGGGAGCTTTGTTAGAGATGTCTAAATTGGGTTGTCTTTGTGCAAATCCACTGATCTCTTTCAAAAGAAAAGGGAAACAGGAGCTTTTGTCCCACTAATAGGCTGTCTGCATAAGAGCGACACACATATATATCACACCCTGCAATCATTTGAATAGAACGAGAAACAGGTAAAACTTTTGACCCTAGACACCTGCTCTACAGTAGGTTCCATATTTGAGACCAGAGCGACAAAAAAAGGGTATGCATTAAAGTACAACTCCTCAAAATATCAGACTTTAATTGGTATGACACTTGAGTTTATGAAGGTTGAGGTTCATTCTAGCTGGAGTTATATAAGTTTGGGAGAGGGAAGAGATTGAGTAGAAAGGCTTGGCAGGTAGCAGGATGCAGTCTGCCTTTTCCCACGTAATGTAAATGTGCATTTTTAACTCTTAATTTGAAATGCAGCCATGTAGCTGTTAGCTAAGCAAACCTAAACCTGCATTCAAGAGCCAGCTAATCAGTATTTAAAGATCCTGCTTAAAAATAGAGAATCAGTAGGCGCATGACCGACTTTTGGTATTTGAAGTGTTCTGGTTTCCATTTTTAGTATGAGGTCCAATCACCAAATGTAGTATTAAAGCTGATGTAGGCTGTGCAAAGGGGAACAGTACACGGCATGAGGAAAAGGGGTTGAAGCTTAATTTAGCCGCATGCAATTTTAGAAACAGCTGGTGTTCATCTAACAACATCTCAGTAAAACACACCAGACCAAATCAACAAGAGGAGGCATTAAAAAGAAATAACTTCTCCTTCTCTCTGCCATGTTTTTTTTACACTAAAATCACATTTGGTCATGAGAAACTTGACAAATTTTGTTGTCATAAGAGTCAGGACTCCTGGTGCTAGTGAGAAGAGTCATCATGATTGTGCTATAAGAGTAAAAATGTTAACTCTGCTATCAGGGTGGCTCACTGGTAACCCTATCCCAAAATAATCCTACATAGTAGACCTTGTGCCCCCTGCTCATCTGCATCCATGCTGGCCACTCTGCACTCTGTGTGCTGAATAGTCATGTGACCAAAAATGGTCAGATCAGCAAATCAAATAACAGGTTTCAATAACACAAAAGCACATGTAACAAAACCACAATTTACAGCCTTTTGTGCAGATATGTAATGCCCATTCTTACATTGCTTCCTCAGATATATTGTCCTCCTTTAAAAGAAGCTATAGAATTTATTTTCAGGGCACTGGAGACATTATATGTAGCTGATGAAGCAGCGCTAATCCACTGGTCTCAGTCCTTGCACATAAGCAAGCAGTAGAGGGAGGTCAGTTTCACTTTTACCTGCTGACAAACCTGTTGATGTACGATATGTTCACTTTAGTTCTGCTAAAACAGGTTGAAAATTTCAGTAATCTTTAAGGTTGCAACATTCAGTCCAAAGAAAATCATTTAACAATAATTTTAGTCTTAAGTACAAACAGTGATGACTTTCACTGTCCCCAAATGCACAAAACCACCTTAAATTATTACCATGCCACCCCTACCTGTTACTCAATAATGTCAAAAGGACCAAGCTCAAATTAAAAGTATGAAAACCACATTTGGCATTTTTTGGTCAAAAAAGAAGATGCAGATGAAGATGAAAATATTTTATTATTAGAAAATTGACATTAAATTAAATAGATAATTTTGCTATTGATGTCAATATACTTTTGTATTCAGGATCAAATGCATGATTTGACCCCAAGTGTAATCTGTTAATAAATTTACGAGTGCAGGTAACAACAAACATTCACTTTTTATTCATTTCTTTCTTTTCAGGGACTAGGGTAACTGTAAACACTGAGCAGCATGTTTATAGTCCAGCTGACTTGTTTGTGTTCAGATATTAAATATCAATGCTCTGTTTATTTGCTGGTTATTTTCTTCAAGCCAATAAGTAGCCAGCAATATTGAGAGTTCAGACATTGCGGGTTATTAAAGGGGATGTTCTCTTGGCCACATAAGGAGGCTGCAGAAAATTGAAGCTCTGGTATAAAGAGGATAAAATTAATTTTGAAGACGCAGTTTTGGGGGTTTTCCTAAAGAGAATTACAGTGTCTGAAAACATATTTTTCTCAGTTCTTGTTCATAGAAGTGTTACAGGACCTGATTTTATTTTTTATATTATGCCCACAGCAATTTTCATTCACCAGACAACTCATACAAGGAACGAGACTCCAGCTTTTGTTGCTCTTGAATCATTAATAGAAATAAGCAAATACAGATTGGAGGTTGAATATAACAGGATATAAGACGTCTTCCCCTTACTAAAAAGGTGCTACTATAGAGCTCCAGAGACTACACTTTTCTCCAACACACCACCCTGCCAAGTCTGGCAGTCTTTTACATATCACACTTCTCCCCTCGTGTGAACCCCACTCTACAACCAAAATAAATCTGTCTGCTGCTCTGGTCGAGATCAGACAGAATAGTGTGTTCAGCCACAACATGACTGGAGAATACACTGATCTTTCCTCTATGAATAAATAAAGCTCCTCACATATCTGTCTGTAGTAGTGCCGTATTGATTTAATTTTGGATCACAGCCCTGAAGAGCAAGAGTATTATATATTTAAAGGAAAAGTGAAGGGAATACTAAATCAGAAAAAAATGACTTTAGAGGAGTATTTCTTTTTAACACAGACCAATCTTCAGTGTTAATTTTACACACAATCTGTCAAAAAAACAGCATGAAAATTACACATGTTTCAATTGCTTCTCGTCCAGAGATTAGACAAAGTTGTATGTTAAATTATTTAATTGAATACGACAATTAAAGTTTGAAGTAAGTGCTGCAACTTTTTAGGAATTGTAATTACTTTTGGCGATTTGCTTTTTCTCAATTTAATATTTAATGCGGTGGTCAGTTTTGGTTGTAGGCACAGATCTATATTTTCACAGCCGGTGCACCCACTCGAATAATGAATGCACAGGTGAAGTAAACATCTCAAACACATCATGTATGCTTTCAGTGCTGTAGTATACTGTATCTGCTGCTTTTCAAACTCTGTTGAGGGACTGACTGAATACTGTATTGCAGCTCATCCAGGCTCTGCAGAGTGTAATCTAGGTCAGGTGTGTGAGCTGCAGTGCAGGTTCACAGCGCTGACCCAGTAACGAGCCCTGTCAGCCCACCTTACCTGGCACACAAGGTTAGGTTAGTCCCTGTGACTGTGTCAAACAGCAGCCAGAGGAGCGGCCAGGCAGAAACATCCAGCTGTCCGATCAGCTGTGGGATCAGCGTGTGAAGGCATCCAAGATGGCAGTGTGTCGACATCTGGTCCGCAGTGTTGGCCCCAGAAAACCCCAGTGGTCATTAAGGGGATTTTATATTATACTTAGTATCAGATTTGTGCCACGGGATGTCTGATTTTGAGGGAAGATCATGATGCATTGTTGTTAAATTACAGATAGAGAGGAAATTGTTTTGAGATTCCATGTTTCTGTACTGAATTTGTAGGTAATCGTCATCTTATCAAAAAAGCAGGAGGCTAAAGGGATAAAAACTTATGCTTAAAAGATCACAAAACCATAAAACAATGTAATACATGCCAAGACAGCCGCCAAATAAAAGGTCCAGTGGGGCTCCCATCTTAGTCTTCAGCTCTGACAGCAAAGGTGTTCAGTCACCTCTGGGACTATTACTGACCTTGGAACAGTCAAAATCGATCAATACACAACTGATTACATTATTTCTACAAAGGTCAGTGACTGCTTACAGTGTGCTTTCTAATGTTCAGTATGTTGCACCACAGTGATACTGTACTATTTAGTAGCTGGTTCATCTGAGTGAAATCACCATACATGGAGTTAAGCCCAGTAACCAACCTCTGCATTCATACAGTCATAGGACTAAACAGAGTCATCAGCCGTGCTAGCAGCTGACCATGAACTTACTGTATTGTTCACAGTGACAGTTTAAACAGGCGTATGTATAGCCTATTATTTTGACTAAAATAAGTTCAGCCAAATAATGGGTGAAACAGAAATATAAGCACACCAGTTTTGCATAGTTTAACAGCAGGACATCTCAGTCTGCTGAATGACATGTGTATAACATTTCCACTCACTCTAACAAAAGACGATAAATGTCTGCTTAAAGTGTAAATCTCACCCACACTTTGACAATGACTTATATTCATACAGTGAATATTAGAGCACAATACAGATGGTTATGCTGCTTAGCACTCAAAAAGCGTAATGTGGCTAGTGTGGCACTTTGAGGACTATCAGTTTTCATGAAAAATTGACACATCCATTTTTTAAAACCACATTTGCTCCCCTGGAAACACAGAAATATAACCACAATCCATAATATGTCGCCAGGCATTTCAGTCGACTGGATAACATGTAGCCACTCATGACAGCCCTAAACTGCCACTGAGTATCTGTGCAAGTGCTACCTACTTTAACTCAAAACAAATCTTCAAATATTAATGACTATATAGCATCCTACTACTAAACAAGATGATACACAAAATAACCAAAATGAGAGTATATACATAAGTCCATTGATGCCTTACAATGTCCATAAGCATACATTAAATTTCTATAGGCCCACATTTACTATGGTCAATATACCTGTATAGTAGATATGATAGTGTTGGTGGTGTTAAATTGAAAGTATACAGTAGATTTCAGCAGTAAAACAAGATTCTAGCTTTGTTTACACCATACTGGCTATGACTGATTATACACAACAAAAGTTAAACAAAAGTCGCCTTAGTTCAATATTCATTTTGGCTTTGTTTCCCAACTGGCATAAAATTAGGCTTATGTTCGTAAAGTAAGCAGCAAGCTAAGGGTATGCTAAGGTACCCCAGCCTCTTTCATCACAGTCATACTAGTACCTGCTTGCAGTGGACAATCAGGGACAGACTGTGTGTGATCTGTGATCATTTACACATCCACTGTGTATCTCACTATAGTTATTTGTGTTGTTATGTCTAAATGTCTGGCTTTTGTATTGTATACAACTTCACACATGACTCCTACCAGTGTAGAATCTGTAACTAGCATATGTTGACTGAATCCATGATCTCTTGCCAACTTCAGGGAACTTTGATTAGGTGTCCCTTTTTAGATAAAAAAGAAGGTTACTAAAATGATGAACTTTAGCCAACTTTTGTCCTTTTTATCACATGGATGTTGGTAAAATATAGTGTAATAGGTGGAAAAACAACACAACGGCAGGTCAAAAGTATGAGACATATTCATGGCTTTCATGCGTAGATGTAATGTCAAAAATCAGATACAGTGCTCCTGAGAAAGATGCTAATTTTGGTGACTTGCAAGTTGGGCAGGATTATCTCTTCATGCATAATTTCTTCAGCAAAATCATCCACTGTTCTTTGTTTTAATGTCAGGAGTGTGGGGAGAGATGGCAGGGAGTTACTTTCAAAGCTCAAACAAAGTTCAAGAATTCACACGACTCACCAGGAAACATCAGATCTTTATTACCAATGAAAATGTCCGAACCAGCACTGTGTGACTGTACACAAGCTAAGCCAACATAATGCTAATTTTAAAAGCTCCTTGGGCTTTTACTGGTTTTTGAAAAGTTTCCATTGTTTCATTTATAGTTTACTTTCCTCCTTTATGTTAGGCAGAAGTGCTAGTTCAAAGGAGGAAATACACGTTTACGAATAGAGAGTAGATATAAATGTGCCACCAGCATTTGGTTAGTTAAGTAAAAAAATATATATGTGGGAAAGAGTGGGAACAGCTAGCCTAGCTTGGTCAAAGATGGGGCTGAGCTATCTCTGTTTTAGTTTGATCCAGGTAAGGCAGCAGAGTGGTTTGAGCCTCTTCTACGACTTATAAAGCTCTGCCCACTGGAAAATATGGGATATGAATGAATAAAATATCTTTAGATTTACTCCTTTGATGAAGCTTTGACCTGATCCTTGTAACTCATTAAATGTATCATGTAAACATGAAATATTTGGTTTTACCCAATGAGGTAGATGTGTTTAGATCTAAACTGTAAAGTGTCACAAACATAATGAAAATATGAAGCAGAAAAGTTTGGAGATTTCATTCTCTGTTTTGTTTTGTTTTTTTCTTCAGATTTAAAGAACATGGCCTATGTGCAGTCTGACATTACCCCCAAACACGGTCTATATTCGCTGCACAGAGGACAAAAATAAACCCTGGATATGAGCAGCAATCAAACCCAATGTCTGGAAAAAGGTCAACCTCTCTGCACATCACAACATCCACGTGAAAAGGTAAACATGTGGGGGTTCATGTGTCCTTTTCACCATACCTGTTTTGTCTCCTGTGAAAAATTGAATTAGCGGGTGGTACATTAAGCAGCTTATGTTTACTTTATGATGATTGCCCTCCCCCCTTCTGTTTTTTTTTATGCCTGATTCTTGCTCTACTTTCCTGTCGGATGTCAAGTCAGTCTCTGAGGGGCTCCACCTCCCTCCTGTACCTGCCTGTGAGGCTCCACCGTGGCTCCTCCGTGTTTGTCGACTTAATGCTGGAGCAAGGCACTAATCTGCCATTAAGACAGGGGGAGAGAGAGGCTTACTGGTGTTTCTCTTACAAATCCACTTCCAGAAAACCCTGGCAGAGATGCTGCGCTGCATCCCAACGGATTAGTGACAGGGCATCAGGAGTGCAGAGGGAAAGACAGTGAGAAAAAAAAAAATCAGAGAGATGATGTGATGGGGGAAAGGTGAAGATGACAAAAGGTGAACGCTACTGGGCTACAGGAACACAAAAAGGGGAGACCTCGGTGAGAAAATGAAAAGCATGTGTGTGGTTAAACACGGCAAATGAGCGTAAACACGTGGGAATACATGAGAGAATAGAGAAGGGAAATGACACAGGAAGGCAGAGGTGTGAGAGCAAGGAAACCAGGACAAAGAGGAGAGCAGAGGAGGTGGTGAATCCGTGTGGGTGCATGGTTGTAGAACAAGTGGGTTGTGGGTTGTAACATTTAATATCTGTTATCCACTCAGTGTTTGATTAGCGTTGTGTGTAAATATTAGACCCTGAAAGATCCTTAATCAGCATCTTAGTCCAATTCAACCTGCCCAATCAAACACCATTTATTGGCATTAAGCTTCAACCATGCTGTTGTTTGAGTCGACCATATTTCTGACCATATTTGGATGAGAGGGTGGAGCTTGAGAGAAGAAAGGTGTTGGCAAATGTCAAGTTATTAGAAGAAATCACTCTCGGCCCAAAGCTAATTTATCAGCAAATGAACAGGCTAGTAAATTGAACGAGATCTTATCTGCTGTGCTAGCTGAGCATGGGTTTATTAAAACATAGAGTAAAGCAAGAAAGCAACACTGCAGACATTCACACCAATCTCCAGTTAGAGAGCTTCTTATAGACTACAGATACCAGAGCTCTTGAATTAACCAGTCGTGTCCATTGTCTATGCTGTAGGGGAAAAAGAACAACCATCAAGACTCCCTGAGTAGTTACCACCAGCAATAAATCAATCATTGGGCAAACCATGTATGAGCTATCAAGCCGGTATGTAAGTAATAGTCATGTACTTAGCTTGTAATGAGTACTTAGGTGGCTAATTACCAATGCCTGCCAATTAAAGCAAACATAAATAAAACAACTCTAAATCGTCACTCACAGAAAAAAAACTCTGTTGGTGACTTGGCTTAATGTTTAGCAGACAGATGACCAAGACCTCTAAATATGAACAAGTTTTGGTGCTTAATATGGAACCAAATATATAGATATATACCCAAAATTCATGTGTTATAAAGAAATTGTTATCTGTATACTTTTAATAGAAAGAAATAGAAGAAATAAATAGTCACCACAGGGTAAGGAGGAAATATATGGGTTTGAATTTTGGCAAAATTCAGAGGAAGTAATTTTTTTCATAAACCTAACTTTCTCAAGACATGGGCTAAAATCAGCTTTGATAACAAACAGCATGGAGAAAACCATTGATTTGTCATCCTCCTTTGTGCATTAGCCATAGGAATCAACCTCAATATTAAAGCAACTAAGACACTCAGTTTAACACAACTAAACATACAGTTTTTTTTCCAATCAGTTAGGTGTAAATGTCTAGCCTTTCCACCTTTGGCAGCCCTGTCAAATTACCCATCCACTGAGTGAGAGTGCACAGGTCAGTCATTGTGTCCCATATGTGAACTCAAATACTGAAAAAGACCTGTGTAATCTCCCATCTTTGTTGAAATTAGCCAAAAACAAGTCACTGGGTAGTGCTGATTTACATGTCTAAATGATCCTTTTGCCCCCAGCTTAGCCCTGCCTGCCAAAAAAAAAAAAAACATTACATTGTTTATTAACCATAAAAGGGATCTATACTGCTGTAATACATACATTGCAGATAAATGATTTAATATCAGATCACACTGTTTGTTTAATGGAGGGTTTAAAAATGCTTCTAAAAGACCATCGTGTAAGTAAAGCAGTAAAGTGGATGAAAGTGGATCTTCCTTCAGCAGGTGTCCAACATTATCACACTGGGTTATGCTGGAATTATGTGGCTGTCTTTGGTCAATTCACATGGTAGCATGGTAAGTCAAATTGGCAATATATGTTTTGGCCCTGATATATCAATAACTGTATCACACATGTCAGGACGTTGATTTGGACCAGTTTTGTGTTTGTTAACAGGAACGCTGTGTTTGATAAGCAAAGCTAAAGTGGTGGCAGAAAGTTAGCTGTAGCAGTGGCTGGCAGTCAGTGGCTGATGCTTCTGTTGCTAATTTATTTAGACCAAAAACATTGCTGATTTTGCCCTAAGGTGTATTGATATACAGTGGAGTAAGCCTTACCTGATGTGAAATGCATAGTGCAGAGACAAGAGTCTCAAGTGATATTTTTATCCCTGCAATCTGTTCAATTTATGGACTGCAACCAGAGCAGGGCACACATGCAATAATATGCCGATCATTAATTCTTGGCATTACTTTTTTTGAACATTATTTTAAAAATGACTGCTGAACCTTTAGCTTCCATCAAATTCAGTTTCCTTAAAGGTTGTCAGTTTCCTGTCACATGACTTCAGTGCAGGAATATAGCACTGTGGCAGTAGACATCATTTGGATCAAAACGAAATTCTGTGGATCACTCAAAGGGATATTCTTCATGGAAATAATATGGTGATGATTACTACAAAGAAATTATCATAAATGTTCTTCCTTGAGCTGTGTCACCCCACTGTAGTCCGTTATGGACCGGCCTGAGGTCTTGCTACAAACAAGCTGCTGCTGAAAGAGAGTAGGTGAGTTGTGTTTAGTCTCGTTGCTAAAGAAATAAGGCAACGCTAAAAAGATGTTTGACCCCAAGGCCAGGACCAAGCGTTACAGAACCACCTTTGTCCCAGCAGCTATTGCAAAGCTCAATGGCAGAGCTAATAGATGAGGGAGTCTTATTGAACCTTCGGATCTGGAGAGATTTTATGTGATTTTATGGCTCTTAACGATTGGCATTTTTCCTTTTCTTGTACTTGACTGTTGTATTGTTGTTTTTATGTGTGTCTTATCGGGACGGCTGGGTTCCTGCCTGCAAACAAAATTTACCGCAAGGTATAAATAAAGAAACCTTTGACCTTTGACCTTTAGTACTATGGCTGGGACCCTATATGTACTGTTGATGAAGTTAGGTGCTGTTCTAAGCATTATTTGTGTAAATAGAAAGGCATTTTGGTTGAGGTTTGTGTGTGGAGTCGCAAGCAAGCGGTCGGCAACATTCATCTCTCATGAGGGGGGTGTCTAACTCGGTGTTATGGTGTGTTTGACCCTAAATTAATTTTACCCCTGAATATCACTATAAAGGGCCTGAATGACCATCACCCTGAGGTTGTTTACCCGAGAAAGAAGAACTACCCAAACCTTGGTCCTACATAGTAAGATGGATCACAGACAACTTAAGCAAAAGCATAATGCTTTGTAAATTTGAAGAAGTCTGTGGATCTTTATGGATAATTTGGATAAAATTTTGCTAGTCTGACATTGTGAGGACTCACACCTTTGCAGCAAAGGGGTAGGTGGACTGTTGAACTACACTCTGTTAAAGCTAACTCTGTTGTGAACTTCTTTAACTTTTTAACTGGATTAATGGATACAATTTTTGATCAAGTACACTCGCCTCTTTTTGCAAACATTGTTGGGCCTTTTTTTTTGCCACCACTATTTGTGCAAAACTGCTTTGACATATTTGTGATGCCTACAAAAACTTAGTTATAAATGCTATATTTTGAGATATTATCTGACCCCTGTTGGAAGCCTATGTAGTCCTTTTTTCTAACTGTTAGCGTTTTTATCTGTGTTGTAAAGTCATGCATTTTAAAATGGGATCTACTGGGGATTGACTCACTGTAAAAGCCAGCCTCAAGTGGACACTCATGGAACTGCAGATTTTGGCACCTCAACTTTGGCTTCCCTCCCCAGCTCTGGATGTTACCTCCTGTTTCAAAGATACAGCAGATTGACTCCAACAGCCTAATGTCTCCGCTCTAATAGCCAGACATAACGGCCTCTGGTAGTGCCGCTGTGATGCAGCCATGGCATGACTCACACCTTTCTGAAGGCTGTCCATCTGTGGTGGGAACACCGGAGAGCTGGAGCAGGGGTCTGAAAGGGAGCAGTTCTGACAGGCAGATGGCTTAGCTCCTCCGTGCCAGGACTGTGCCCACTTCCCTCCCTCCACCCACCCACAACTCACCCCACTCTTGGCTCAGCCCATCTGTGGACTGGCCTTGGGGGATGAATGTGCACCCACCTGGGCTGACTGGGGGACGCCGCGACAGAGTCCATTTTGTTCTGAGTCAGAGGTCCGTCAGAGCCTGAAACACTCTCAGAAATACAGAAACCACCCACGCTCATCCAAGGAGCTGCCCCTCTAAAGGTAAGTGAAGGCTTCTTTTTTTTTTTTCTTTTCCTCTATCAAACACTCTTGGCTTTCCGTGGGCAGTTGCCATGGCTACGGTAAAGTAAGCGACCACCTGTGGGCTTGCTTCTGATGTGAAAGCAGAAAAAAGGCAAAAAGAGACAAATCAACAGACTGCAAACTGATTGACTGAGCGTAGCCTGGAATAAATCCAACATTTCAGATCCTCTGATGTTTTCGGGGCATTCACGCAGGCAGATAAAAACATCTTGATTCAGCAGAAAGAAAAGTCTCTGCATCAGTAAGATAGGGACTTGGTCACAGTGGGTGTAGGCAGATTTTAGATCGGGTCAGAGTAGCCAAAAAACCCCAAAGCAAGTCGCTCCATGGACTCCTCTCCTGCTGGACATCAATCTTCACAGCTGCTGTCAAAGCAAAGAGCAGATTTGATTTCTCTACTGAGCAGAACTCGACCCTTGACCCCCCCACCAAGCCTGGGTAGCCCCAAGTTGTTGCTATGGTTACTGTAAAGCTGGTGGTGGAGGGAGGTGCAGCCCTGCAGGACGCAGAGCTGCTGTGAGCATTAAAGGAATAGATATAAATTTCTTCAAGCCCCACATCGTGTAATTGAATATAGTGAAGAAACCTGCCCCTGTCAATAAATTACCTATTTATTTCTGGCCTTGAACAAGGTGACTCTCTGTTATACAAGCCAGCTCCCTGTGCAGAAAGATGCTCTGAGATCCTGCTTGAAAACACAGTCATGTCTCAGCACTCTCCACTCGTGTGTGTGTGTGTATGTGTGTGTGGGTGTGTACTGTATGTGTACGTACACGTGTCCAAGTGTGTGTTGACTTGTTGCCAGTGGGTTTCTTCGTGCCAGCACCGCAGTCTGGTGAGGCAGAGCGGCATGTCGGCTGCACAGCTGCGCACGGGCAGCTCCCATTGGTCGGGGTTAACGAGGTAGAGAGCACATCTGCATCAGAGCGGACACGGATGAGTGAGGCCGCAGCAGAAGCTGTCATGCTCTCTCTGTGTCCGACTTGCCTGCGTGTGTTTTTGTGTCAGCAAGAGGTGCTTGACAGTGGATTTATTTTGTGTCAACAAGGGTGTCAGTATGCCACTGAAAGAAAACTCTGATTTATTCTAGAGCTGGACCATTTGCATCAGTCCCCTAAAGCATTTACTGCATGTTTGTAGATTTGTACAAGTAATTGAGAAGTCTATACACCTCAGTGATTAAAGCTCCTGTCAGGAGTTTTTGACAGGTTTTAAAAACAGATTTTTTTTATCCTTTCCTTTGAAGTAACAATCACCATATTAATCATTTTGCACTGCAGACGCAGTAGTTCTTCTGCCTCTCGGTCTGATTGCATTTCCATGAAGAAATGGTTTGTGCTCACATCCTCATTTTTTCCATGAAGTTCCATATTTTAAAGTTATTAGGGGTCATAAAACAGGAAAAACTACATTTTCTTTATAAGTGACACTTGCATGTGGTCAATGGCTATACAAAGATCGTGTAGGACATCCAAGAGTTACGCTATTCAAGCAGAGTATCATCACAGCAATTCTCTCACTGAATGCTACTGTGCAAATGCTGGTTTCAGAAAATGGAGAAAATTCCCAGAAATACAGAGAGTATTTTGGCTTCATATTCATTCAATGACAGGAGGCAGAGTCATGTTGTCTAAATTATATACAGTCTATGGTATGTATCTGGTTTCAGGTACCTTAGCAGCCACCATCAAGCAGGAACTTGATGAACAACTCCACATTGGCTTTCTCTCTCAAGACTGAAGACACTTGGTGGAATTGTAATGGTGCAACCAAACCATTATGCAACTAAACTTACAAACTAGTTTAAATATAGTAGTTTTGTGTGAATTTCACATTGTAACTCATAACAATCTATACAGGGCTAGTATAGCAGGTCACACTGTTCATTCTTTTAATCAGGGGGAATCAGACAGTTCTGATATGCCCGCTTCAAATCACATCTTGGATCCCTCAACTGAAAAGCAGCATCTGTCATAATATGTCATGTGATGCATAAGCCTATATGCCAGCACTCCAAAAGAAACCAGGATCTTGTGGCAGGGGGATCTCCTGCACACCAAAATGGACTGCATGTGTGCACGTGAGTCCTCATTTTAAGTTACGTAAGACTCAGTCAGTGGAACAAAATATAATCATAAATGATGCAATGATGGCCTACATACTGAAATGGTAGACTGTCTGACACTGATGTGGAGGATTGCTCTCATTGTGATCGGATGAAAAAGTGGAACACTAAAAGCAGTGAAAGAAGTGTTTTTTATGATCAGAAACAGGAGTAATTTTAGAAGACAGGATTTAATCTACTGTAAATGTGAAACTAATGCTGGAGAGTCTCCTTGAAAAATAAAATCCCTACATTTATCAGTGGACAGTTAAAACAACATGAGTTTTTAAACAAGGGGTCCCTCTTCAGGTGAGGTGATTCAGTTTAAAACAAATATCTGCAGTCTTATCACAACAAAGCATGTTGACATGCAAGAGCAATTCATTCTGGGAATAAATATGTATCCTCCATGAGCAGCAAGAGAAAACACTGTTACCTCTTCCTGCTCATGGGATTTGATCAGTTTCATGATAGAGAAATGTATACGAACGACTGTATGAAATAAATGTATGTAGCCACTGTGGAGTTAAGTGTTTGTGAGCATTTATTTTGAACACTGAATTTTGCATGTTTGTCTTGGCCATCATGTTTTCTTTTGAAGCAGAGCTGATCAGGATATGAGCAAGGATTGGCATTTTCTATCTATGTCCTGGTTGACTTGGCATGATGGTTCTTACTTTCCAAGCTAAGCTAATTTCAACAACTGGCTCTCTTTTTCAAATAATAATATAGTAAGAAAAATAATAGCAACACGATTAAAAATTAAGAAGAATCGAGAATTATTGATTGGTTACATAATTTGAGGTATGATGGAGGTTTTAAAGTAGGGTAACATTTTTTCCAAGTTCTAAAACAGATTATTTATGTAATGCTAAATGGGAACATAAGTGTCTCAATGAAGAAAAGGCCGTATTGACCATGACTTTAAACTATAAATGAGGCCAGTAAATCCATTAAGAAAGCACCACCTGAAGTAATCACTCAAATGTGAAGTGTTTCTTTTTTTTATATTGTTACATACAAACGGGTTTCTTGTTGCAACTACTGTAAGTGGCTACCTGTTTAAATACACAAGTGCAAAAGACTACATATCCTTTAGTGTCTACTTGAGGCTGGCTTTGAAGACCAAGGAAACCCAATCTGCATCCATGCCAAGGTGACTGTTTTTATGACTGCTGAATATAACAAATTTACAGCATGGTACAAAGATGACTTCAACTGTTTTGATTATATCAAGAACAGAAGTTATCCTAGACTGTGGTCACAGCCATGGAGCATCACCTATTGGTTTAGATGTGTTTGGGTTGCCAGATCTGCTCATTGTCCAGCGCCTGTTGAAGATGTCAAGTCCACTTGGACAAGCTACATTGTGCTCCATTTAATAAGTCAAATGTGCTCAGTTAAATGCCCCTACGCGGTTTTCTTTAGTTCTGCTCAGTTCATTCAATTGACCTCAAAATTTTCTCTCCATATAATACAGATAATTACAACTTACTGTACTGTAATTTTTAGATGGCTTTAATTGTATGTTAACTTTTCTAAAGGAAAAAGATGCATGCAGGATCTTCATTTATCGATAGATAGTATTGCTCTTATCCCACATTTCCTTTGGCAACTTAAATCAGGCGGTAGTCCGACTGTCTTAAGTCTCCTCTGATCAGCAGCGACAGGTTGCTTCATAAAATTCGTCCATGAATTACTACAATCCCATGAAAAATAATTCTGTAATGTCCAGCCCAACCGCAATCTTCTACGTCAACCGAACAAACTTTTAGCTATTCATATCAATATTCGTCATCAATAGGTGCTGGACTCTGAGCAGATCTGGCAGCTGGAACAGGTCTGGTACCTACACCGGTACTGGCAGCATTTCCAAAATGGTGACCACCATTGTTAGGCTTTATAACACCTCACTAGAACCAAATGAGCAATGTTGGGATGATATTCATACTATAAATAATCAGCGGCTTCAACAATTGGATTCTCCCCCTGGAAGCCAAAAAAAGAAAGCAGGTTCAGGAAACCTCTTCGCAGCCTAAGTTTAACCACCAAAGGCTACGTTCACCTTTTGAATAGCATTTGTGATACACCTTTGTTGAACATTCCTGCAAATTCCACAACCCCACGGGAAATTGAAGCTTTCATTGTAAAAATACTATCAGTGCAGATTCAGCTTCACAACATCAGAAAGGACTGAATGGTGTACAGTGGAGCAGTTCATGGTTGCTTATGCATGATCTGTCCTTGGCCTCACTACGTTGTGCCACTGAGTATGAATCTTAGCGTACTCAGTCATGCATACATATGTCTTTGTGCTTAATTGTGTTGCAGAGCACAGTAGTATCTATCTAGGACAGTAGCATGTAGTGATTGTTTTTACACTGCTTATTTACATTAGAAAGCCTTACAACAATGAACAGTCTCACCGTGTAGATGTGATAGGAGGGGGTTTTAACGTAGAAGCCCATCGTCCTTATTGTGTGTCTTACCCAGGGAATGTAGAATTAACAGATTAGCCAACGTGAGGGGGGTAGAAAAAGAAGAAAATGCCGGCATGGAGCTGTTTGATTTAGAAAAGAAAAGACAGTGGCGATTGTTTGAGCAAGCGTGCGTGAATTTCATGTGTCTATTTGGGGATAATGACTGAAATCGTATGTACACAGGACCTGATGAATGTAAGCAGGCCTTGATCAAAAGCAAGTGTCTCCCTTTCTGCTCCTGTTTCTCAGAGTCGAGTCGACGCATGTGTGTGTGTGTGTGCGTTGATGGGTCCATGAAGCGAAGCGTGTGTGCAGAGCAAGACAGACATAGAGAGAGATAGCGAAGAGATGAGAAGAGAAGGAGAAAGAAAGAGAAAGAGAGAGAGAGAGAGAGGGCGAACATCTCCGTCTCTACCTTGGACTCAGTGGCTGAGTCACTGCAGATGGAGGGCATTTTTCATGCTGCGTTGCCGCACAGTTCTCTTTACTGCATTATTTTTTATGACACTCCTCCCCAAGGATATTGGCGTCTTAAGGAGGCCCCAGACTGTGATTAATATAACAGGCTGCCTATTACCTACTGACATTTGAGTCCTTCTCCTACACCATTACACATCTGCCTCATTCTTCACAGGGCGGGCTATGGTGACAGCAGCAACACACGACACGCTAAAGTACATGTGGAGGGATCACAGAATATTCAAACCACCATCTGCCTCTTTCTGTTGCTATTTTCATTCAACTTTCATTGTCGTCTTTCGTCCGTCACTCACTGCTCTCCTCAGATCTCGCCTCTCTTCTCACATGTAGCGTCTCTCTCAATCTGGCGTCACTCCTAGTCTACCTGCAACTGTTTTCATTCCAACTAAATATCACACTTGGCCGGCCATCTTACATTTCATTAAATCTGGCTGTGCATCTTCAAACACTCTCTGTTTGTGCTGAGAAAGTTTTCTGCTGTAATTATGGAGCAGAATCACTGTTTATTAGGATCTGGAGTTGTGTTCTGAAGCGATGTATCGCAGTAACGTGAACCCCCCGTGGAACAAATCAAAACTGGGTCAGAGCCTCAAAATATCAGAAGAGGAGCCTTATTATCATTTCTGTGTATTGTGTAGCTTCATATTGTGCCAGATAAAAACTCTCTAAACAAAAGGTTGGCACATTTAGGATGGAGATGAGGATACAGTAGGAGGAGGGGGGAAACCCAGAATCCAGATGTCAAAGAAGCAGGCATTGTTGTGTGTTTGTGGAAAGCAGCCTCCAGCTTCTAAATAGCCTGTAGTCAACATCTCCATGACGATCAAAGCCTTAAATCTGGGCCCCTGTGTGAGTTAAACTCCCAAATCTCTGCTGAATATCTCGGGGCAGCCCCTCTCAAATGGAAAAGCCTACCTGTGTGTGTGTGTGTTTGTGTGTGTGTGTGTCACTGTGCCTCCATTTGCATCTTTCCTGCATGTGTGTCATGTGAAGTATGTGTGGGTAGTTAAATATATATGTCAGTAAGACATGGAGAGTGTGCGCAGCAGCTGCACCCATCTGTCTTCATGTGCACAGGAGAGTGATGGTGCAAGATGTGTATGTAGGTGTGTCTGTCAGAGCTGTGAACGGGGAGGTCTGAAGGCATTTGAAAGCACTGATGGAGAATCAAATGCTCCCTGGCTTCCTCCTCCCTTACCTCAACTCCCCGTCTGGAGCTCCACTTTTCTGATGCGCTCCGAAATATACTTACCTCAGCTCGTCATTTATCTAGGATTGAGTCTTAACATCTTGTTTTTCGTAAGAAAAAGTGAATGCGGGTGGCTCGAGACAGGAAAATTTGACTTGTTTACAAAGCTTCAAAATGTCAGTGATGTAAGTATGGCAGACTGCTGCCTTAATGCCAAGGTAGTCACAAAATATTCAAAAACTGAGGCAATTTGAAAAAGTAGAAAAGAGAAATCCTTTCCATGTGGGTTACCTTTTTCATGCTTGACGAGAATACATTTATCCAACAAAACTGTCCTAATTAAGTTCTTTTATTGATGTTAGACTTTAGGCTTACTACTTGCAGAGACAGGTATGGAAGTTGGATGCATTGGAAACTCAGTGGCAGGTGAGGTCAAGGACTTCAGAGCTGGCTCTTAGAATCTGAAACGTTCCCTTTCTCTCGAGGTGAAGGGACAAAGGTTGTTGTGGGTAATCTGGCAGTATACCAAACAGCAGCAGAGTAAGCAAACTTCTCCAGGTCTTAATGAAAAGGTTCTGCTTAAGGACTCATATTCTACACAGCAAATTCAGAAGTGTTAATTCAACTCCTAGGGAGTTAAATTCGGCACTTTAAAAGTGTCTATATTGGTCCACACTAAATCGAGTTAAAATAACACTTTCGAAAGTGTTAAACAATTAACACTTTGATAGAGTTGAAACAACACTCTCAATAGTTGAAATCTAACACTCACTGGTGTTTAATTTTTTTAACACCAGTGTTTAGTGTCAAAAATTAACACTCACTGAGTTTTTTTCAACACTGAATAAGATTCAAATTATTGTAACACTATGGGAGTGTTAAATGTATTACTACTACTACTACTACTACTACTACTACTACTACTTATAATAATAGAAAATAAAGAAAACCACACAAGTTACAGTTTGAAACAACATTTATTTTAAACAAGCACACCACAAAAAAAACAGCACTGGCTTTGCACTACAGGTCACACAATATGGCAATGTGGCGCAATATATGTTTTGTCACACATCTCGTTAGAAAAAAGTCTCAAGTGGAAGATCTACCTTTTGAATGACTAATAAAAATATTAGATTTAAAGCAATGGTTAAAAAAATACAATAAGAACATTGCCAGAAATGTGCTTAACTTGTTTTTTCAACATTTTTGGTCAACTTTATAACAGTACTTTTTTACTGTTCACAGGGTATTACCATTAGCTATCATAAACACAACTCCATAATATAAGATATTTGAATACTAGATAAATACAGCAAGTATTACAGCAATTAGTCAGTTTGCACAAATGTTCTTGGTTGTATTGTTAACCTTTCTGAAGAAATGTATTGAAGTCATCATAGCCATCTTCAGTCTCAGCCACTTTGACATATTTCTGCGTTTCTCTGAATCTCACCTTCACCAACATGATGTACTATGAAGAAAAAGAAAAAGAATACATCATCATTTACAGTATGTTCACCGTGAATGAGTAAAGACACAGGGACATTTTGCCTCGGATTACTCGCCGGATTTTGATCGTTGTAATTGTTCTGGGGGTTTTTTTTTGTCTCCCATAAAATTCCTCGCAAGTCACGCCAACCTGGACAACGGCAGCCAGCACGATATCACTAAGCTAACCCTGCCTGCTACCATGATGGCTAACTTCATGCTAACAACACCCACACTTGTCCATACACACAAATACGTGAGCAATTCTTCTTTGTACGTTTGGCAAAATATCATCTACTGAATGCATAACATGACAATGACGCTAACGTTCATATGCAGTTAGCGTTATAAAAACTCACACATTTCAGGCATCAGCAGCTGAGGGGTGTGTGCGACTCCGGTAACAGCTGCGGCTAATGATAGATTGAGAAAATAAAATTAAGATTAAACATTTAAAAAGAAAAGAAAAAAATCCCAACAGCTAGAGATAAATCAAAGTAAACTACTCCTGCTTGTAAAAAGCTCTAGGTTTAGTGAAGAGATCAGTGTCGCGGCCCGGAAAGTCTACACCTGTATTCCTCTAGCAGCAACATAAATTAACTTTAGGCTAACGTTACTACCCGGAGCCACTCCGACTTTTAGCAGCTAACGTTTTCCCTAGACAAACAGGAGCTCAACCACTCGGTCCAGCCCCAGCTCTCTACCCCATCGCTTTACATTTTGCCGTGTATCGTTAGCCGACACTGTCACTCACGAAGAATAAACTTTAGCTTAGCTATACAGCTAACTCGAGTCCTTGCGCACGTGCTAACGTTACTTTGCTAGCTTGAAATATAACCGTGTAGCCTATAACGTTACT